TATCAATAGGAAATTCTTCTGAGGTCACTACTGTGGCCTGGCCAAGTATTCATATGTGCACATCCGTATCTGTAAATACACTGCTTTCAGTCTCTGAAAAGACAAATTTATTCTTAACAGGAGCAACTTCAAGACATGATTGATTTAAAAACAGTTCTGAAGACAAATAATTTTCCCTTTTCATCATTCACACATAGTGCATGGAAGGAAGACCAGAGAAGTACAGACACTATCCATCTGCAGGATTATTAAATCAATATACGGCCAAATTCCCTTTTGGTAGAAATCCTGAGACTGGAAACTTTTCCTGTTATCTGTAAAGAACCAGGTTCTAGGCTGTATAGACAGATATTGTGTGTTAACAAAGAAGTGGAGTAAAAAAGTAGACAAGTCATGCAGTATCTGAAGAGGGAGGAGAAGGATCTAATGTCTTTCTTGGACTCTCTAGTGTGTGTGTTCGTCTCTCTTGAACTGAGGCACCCAGAAGTGCTGTATACAGCACTTCAGCTCAGGCAAAACCATTGCTGAAAAGAAGGTATCATCTACCTTGACCCTCTGGCAATAGCTTGCCTAATGCAGCCCAGGATCCTAATGGCCTTCTTTGCAGTAAGTGCACATTGCGGATTCATGCTCAGCATGGTGTTTTTCAGGACCCCCAGATCGTTTTCTGCCAACCTACTTTCCAGCCAGGCAGCCCCCAGTGTTTCTGGATTTGTTCCTTCCCAGAGTCTGGGCTTCAAACTGGCTTTATAAGATGACTGTCAGCCCATTTTTCCAGCCGGTCAAGGTCCCTCTGGATTAAAGTTTGTCTGCCACTCCCTGTTTTTGCATCACCAACAGTTTTACTGAGTGTGCATTCAGTCATGTTTTCTACATCATTATTGAAGATGTTAAACAGTACTCTTCCCACCTTGGGAACTTTGTTAGTTACTGGCCTCTGACTAGAATTTATGCCGCTGACCAATACTTTCTGGGCCCAGCCATTCAGACACTTTTCAAAGTAACTCAATGTCTTCCCATCCAGTCCATACGTTGGCAGTAGGCATACTCAGTGCTCAGTAGTACCCCTTAATCTCCAGTAGATAGCTCTTGTGCAAGTGCCTGTGATGTATCTGGTGTCTTTCTCGCCTAAAAGAGTAACACAGTGGAAAATTATGTGAACATTAAAATTACGTTTTGTGCTTATAAGAAGATGCAGAGAATAATATTTAGGAGAAAAGCGTAAGACCTTATAGAGTTCGTATTAAATTAAAATGCAGTGCGGAACATCTACCGTTGAAATCTTTGTAATTCAGCAGAAAATTTCAGAAAGGACTGCAGGGCAAGTAAATGATTCAATAAAAAATTCAATGAAGATTCAATAATGTGTACACTGGTGGAGAAAAATATTAGATTATAAAAGTAAGTAAGTAAAAGTATCAGGATTGAATTTGGAAGACATCTTGACAGAACTAGATAAGATAAAAATGAAAATATAATTTGGCAACTACTATATTCTTTACAAGAGTGAAGTCAATGAGATGGAGTAAAAACTTAGACATAGAAAAGAAGACACTCCTGGATCTTCTGGTACAAAAGGTGTTACAGGAACATGAAGTACTTGTATTCCTTTCTCCCAAACCAACCAAAGAAACCATCAGAAATCGACACACTTAAATCTTCAAAGGAACTGGGAAAAAGTGTGGGTTTGTTTTTATATATATAGAAGTAAACTAAACTAGGCTAATTGATGCTATTCATAGAGAGTACAAGAGAATGATGTCTTACATTATCATAGTATAGAATATAGGGCAATTTTTTAAAAATTGCCTTGGAGAGGCTGAGGCAAATCTGGTCCGCACTGGTAAACTTCTGAGTTTGAAAATCAGAAGAAAGTAGAAAAGAAAGTTTAAGTGGGATTGTCTTTCTCAATACCTGAAGTTGTTTAGCCATTATTTGCAAATCACTTAGTGCACATGTGAAGCTCTAATTTTTTCTTCCATCTAAGTTTTCATAATTTTCATGTTAAGGATGAAAGATGGAGATGCACTCATAGACTTGACTATTATCGTTTCATTTTAATTGTTTGTGAAACTTTCTGTCTTTTGATTTAGTGACTGCAGCTGTCAGATCTGAGTCAAGGTAGTGTGACAATTCTGGCTCTTTTGAAAGTTTTCTGTTGAAAGTGTGATACCAAGGAGAAACAAAATGCAGTAGTCCAGAGCATGTTGGTACCACATGACTCTCTAAAATAGTAAAACAAATTAAGAGGTAACTGTGATTCTTTAGCAACTAACAGCGTGTTTAACTAAATAACATGCTTCTCTCTCACCTCCCCTGTCTCAGAAAGTGAGTGATAAAATACAATGAAAAGAAGAAAAAAATCAAGTTTTTAGAAAAGGAGTAGTTAAATGGGAGGGAGAAAGAAAAAAAAAAAAAAAGGTCCTGTGGAAAAAAACTATTTCCCAACATCAATTGATATTCAGTCATGTCTTGTGAAAGAGAGCCTTGGTGTTTGTAGTGGTTGGTCAGAAGGGTAAACACTTTCACAGTGAGAATCTCCCTTTCCCCCTCTTTCCTTCTTCTTTTTGAAGAGGATGATGTCATATAATATCTCCTTAGTTTTAGGTGAGCTGTACAGACCAAGTTCTCTCCCTGTCTCCTGCCTATCTCTCGCCTTTGGTGAATGGGAATTTAGAGAGACAGTCTTGATGCTGCTCAGCAATAGCCAAAACATTAGTACTGTATCAAAGCTATTCTACATAAAAGAAGAAAGCATGGCAGTATATGGGCAGGTGTGGGGAAAGTTAACTCCATCCCAGTCACATCCAGTACAGTAATATATTCCACATAGCTCCTAACGCTGCTTTCTGAACATGCTGATAGATTTTTAGAGAGTGATAGGGATGTTCAGATATTTCAAACTTTCTCAGGCCTGCCTCATTTATAGAGCCAGATACGTCACCTTACAATTAAGAATCTATTATGAATCCTGCCTTTCACGTCAGCAACACAGGGCTAAAAACCCCTTCATTGTGGGGGAACTATTTAGTTACGACAACTTGCCTCTCACAAGGCTGTGGTCATTTGCTAGAAAAGTGTGACCCTAAGGGAGAAAAGCTGGCTCTTAACTGTTGTGTGTCAATGCTATTTTGAGCATGTTTGGAGTCACTCACTTCAGTCAACGCCAGTATTTTCCAGTGACTTTGTGCTGATGAAGGTTATCTGCAACAACAAAGAAAAAGCCATTAAGGAAAATTTTCAAGACAGAGCAAATAAGAGCTCAGAATAGAAAGAATCCATTTTCTTAGATTTCTCTTATGATAGCCCAGGTGTCTTTGGTGCTACTGCCTCTTAGCTAGTTACAATATCACTACACTAGGCACTGAGAGAAATACCCTCTTTTAATGATGTACCTTAACAAACAACACTCTGTATTCTTCTAGGTTTGCTCTGTCCCATCCCAGACTCCTCAGCCTACTGTCGTTCCAAAGCCAGTTCAGTCTGTCGTACATGTCCCATTGCAACCAGGCTGTCCAGGCCGAGGCAAAATGGCAAAGCTCCTCAGTCCAGAAGAGATGACATCCAGAGATTATTACTTTGATTCCTATGCGCACTTTGGAATTCATGAGGTAATATTTATTTTTTATCTCAGTAATTATTTTAGAAAAACAAAAAAAACCCACAAAGTTGTCTGTGATTTATCATTTATCCCTTCCCACTTCCTAATGATTGTTGTTTCTCAGCTTTTCTTCAAAACAGTGAATGAACTGGTCAGGTGCCACTTCTCCAGAGATCCATACTCAACCGTCTGTCCCACTCGAATCCTTAAACAAGATCTCCACAGAGCTTCTATTAGCTATTTGTACAATGGTGATCTTATCTGAGCACATTAATTTAGTATGTTTACGAGGACTGGAAACTAACCTGATCACAAATGGAAACTACCTCATTGTTAACATAGGTCTTTTGTTCTCTTGAATATTTGATTACAGATAATGGCAGGAAAGTTACTTAACTGACATATGAAGCCAAGTGACTTTTTTTGCTCCTGACGTGTTATTTGAATGTGCAGGTTGCATTAATAGGAACATATAGCCCAATAGCATCTAGAAAATTCACGTTTACAAGCAAAAAGTTGTCTGTGGATGAAGTCTAAAGAAATCACTAATAAATTACATGACTCAAGAGGAAGGAAACTTAAAGACTAGCCTGTAAAAAGCTACAATATAACATACAGTAGCATTTTTCACAATCACATAACTATTTCCACTACTCTAGTAATTAAAGCACAAGAGGCAACAGGCAGTCCTGTTACCAACAAACTTAATTGGTAAAAATCATCACTGTGAGGTTAGTCAAATGCTGGTTGTGGAGTGTCCATCCTTAGGCATTTTCAAAAATTGACTGAATGAGGCTCTGAGAAATCTGTTCTAGGTTATTCAGCCTCAACCAGACAAATAAACTAGAGGACTTCTAGAGGTCTCTTTTAATTTCTAGTTAAGAGATGATGTGGTTGAGAGGGGTATGGATAATAAATAAGATGATGTCACGCGGGATTTATTGAATTATTGTTCATTCAACCAGGATGATAGTACTGATTGGTTATTTTATTCAATTAGGAGAAATCTGTGGATTGGTTGCCCTTGCTCTTCCAGAAGATTCCAATTTTGTTCAGGAATACTGCACTGCTGAGAAATTCCTGAAGTACTTTGAAGATAACTTTTTCTCACAAGTATTTAGTGAACCAGCCAGGAAAGGTGTCCTCCTAGACTCACTGTTTGTGAACAGAGAAGACCTTTAGATAGAGAATACAATACAGTTCAGTCAAAAGCAACAACAAAACGATTGAGTCTAAAATTTTTGGTGAAATGACAAAATGATGAGCAGAGTTGTTACTCTGGATTTTAAGAGAGAAAACTTCAAAATACTCAGGGAGTGAGTGAGTAGAGTTCTGTGGGAATTTGCTTTTGATGGCTTAGGGTGAGCTGATCCCTTTCTAAGGACAACCTTTTAAAAACGGGGGAGCAGGCAATCACGGTGTGCTATAAGTCAAGTCAATGAGGCTTAAGATCAGTTTTGTTGAAGAGAGAACTCAAGCCAAAAACGAACGTCTCTAAGCAAAATAAGGCCACACATGAAGATTACAGAGCTGCAGTTCACATTTGCTGGAAGAGTACAGGAAAGGCCAAAGCTCAGCCAGAGTTAAAACTAACCGGCAATGTTTCAGATAATAAAAAAGTATGTTAATAGTAAGAGGAGCTCAAAAGAAAATATTGGATTATTACTGGATGAAGCTGGTCACCTGAAAAATGGTGATAATGAAAAGGCAGAAAATGTCTTTCTTTGCCTCAGTCTTTAGTATTAATGATAGGCCTTGTCCTGTGATATGGTGGATCATGACTGTGGAAGCAGCAACTTTCTGTTCCGGAACACCAAAACTGTAAGGAACTTATTTTATCAGTGGATTGTTCTTAAACTTATCATGCCTGTTGGGATTCATCCCAGAGTACTGTTGTTCCAGTCTATTCATTCTAATTCAAAACTGGTCCTATGAATGAACGAGTGAACAAAGGAGTAGAAACAGAGCTCCAAAAACAGAACACTATTTCCAAGCTCTACTGTAGACTAGCTTCACCTTTTTCTGCAAGGCTCGTGCCTTCTTATAATGTTTTATGGAATTATTCTCTTGTGCTCAAGGAGAAAGTTGAGGTTCTAGGCTGTTCACAACATAGGAAGAAGTTTGTTTTTCTTTATTGCTTCTGTCTACACTCATATCACTGCTGTGATCAGATTAAGTTCTGTTTGCCATTTGTAAGAGTGATACAATATTTATAGAAATAAAATTGTATGAAAGACATCATGCTTATTCTTAATAATTCACTCCTAAATTGATTGCCTTTTAAAATGGCTTTGATGCACGCACTCCAAAGTACTTGGAAAACTCTTCAGGTTGCTAATAATTCTTAAATTACAATAAGGTAATTAATTCAGCAGCAATGTTGAATATAAATAAGCACTTAAATAATAACATTATGCTTTCTTTTCACCACAGGAAATGTTAAAGGATGAAGTGCGTACATTAACTTACAGAAACTCAATGTATCACAATAAGCATGTTTTTAAAGATAAGATTGTCCTTGATGTTGGAAGTGGCACAGGAATCCTCTCCATGTTTGCTGCAAAGGCAGGAGCCAAGAAGGTATATGGGGTAAGAATACTTTCCCTCATATTCATAGTTTGTTTGCAAATTATGCCTGAGAGAGAAACAAGCAAAATGGATTTGCACTGATTTCTATTTCTTGCTTGTCTTGGTTTGTAATTCTCCCTTTCAAGCTTTGAATTACAGAGTCTTCAGTGGAGGTCTGAAGGACTTACAGTAGTATACGCTTTTAAAATCAAGAAATAGTGCTTGCTGTTTTTGTGTACATTGGGGGAAGGGAGGGAAAGTGAATCTTCAATTATCTGCTACATACCCATATTTCCAAGACAATTCACTGCCAGACAATTCAACCAGTAAAAAAAAAATAAAATACTTTTCACAGGTTTCTTTTGGTTTCCTTTGAATTTCTTTCGAGTTCAAGCATTTATAAAGCTCACTGAAGTGTCAGCTCAACCACAGACTGTTCAGCACTAGAGCTGAGAAGCCAGGAAAACTTAGCACTCAAAGGAACTTAGCTTTAATATTCTTGTCACAAGAGCTACGTCACCATGAACTTGTCACCTATCAAGCTACAGAGTTGTATTTGTGCTGGAAAAGCAGACATTTCAGAACCATGGAAGTGGAAATCACTTTCAAATTCAAATTTAACTCTATGGTCCTTTTAGCAAAGATTTCCACTGGAAACTGTGAGTGTTCCTATTAAAAGCAAATGTTTGACAGGAATTATTACACAGAACTGAGTTGTTACTGTTCCTTCTCTAAAGTTAGATTTGATTTTTCAGTGTGTTATGGGCACTGTTGACAAATGCAGAGTGTTGGTTCTCTGGCTACTGTGATACCGAAATCATTATTTTTATCCCCTTTTCCCGTCTTCAGGTTCGAATTCATCCATAGTCCTATCTGTTTCTTCTTGTTCCCTCTAAACCACTGTTGGATGTTCTTTGCTACTCAGCCAAACTGCTAAAATCATTTCAGGGTCTCCAGGATGTGCAAATCATAGAGTCATCGATTCAGAAATATTTAGTTTTGGAATTCTCTTATCCAACCTCCTGCTCAAAGCAGAGTTAAATATGAAGCTGTATCAAGTTGCTCAAGTCCTTGTGCAGCTTAGTTTCAAGAACATCTATGGATGGAGACTCTAAATTCTCTCTCAGCACTTACTCTATTGCTACAGTTAGGGGAAATTTCCCTTGCCACAGGTCATAACTGCTGCCTTTTGTTCTGTCAATGTTCAGTTCTGAAAAATGTTTGACATTTTTTTCTCAGCAAGTCCTTTTTAGATAGTTGAAGATAACTATTGGATGACCCCTCAGGTTTGCCTTCTATAGAAGAAACAGAACTTGTCTCCTCAGCTGTTCTTTCTTCATGTGCTCCAAAACCCTAGCCATCGTGGAAGATAACAAAGATATCACAGTAGATCCCAACTAGGGAGCTGCTGGAAGATGTATAAACATATGATGGGAAGGCCTGCTTATGCTTGTCAGTGGGAAGTGGATGGAAAAATATATTCAATTATCCCTTGAAAACCTTGTCTTATCCATTGCATTTAGTCATATAAAATTCAGACCAATTTCAAATCAATTTCATTGAACATTTGCACAAACGACATTGTATAGTTAATGAGTTAAACTGACACGTAATATCAAGACACATGGTAGACATTATCTGATTTATATTAAAAAAAAGCAGTGGTGAGGATCCAGCCCAGGGAGCAAATAGAAATATGGGGATATTTCCTTTGTATATTATGGAGACATATATATATATATGGCTCATGGCTGTGCAAGGACCTGCAGTTCAAACTAAGGGATAAGAGGGAAATGTACAGAAAATGGAAGCAGGGTTGTGTAGTCTGAGAGGAATACAGGGCTGTTGTCCGTGTGTGTAGAGATGGGATTAGGAATGCCAAGGCGCAGATGGAGCTGAACTTGGCGGTGGATGTAAAAGATAACAAGAAGGCGTTCTAAAGGTACACAGGTAGGAAGAGACAGGCCAAGGAGAGCATCCCCCCTCTGATGAAAGGTAACGGGGAGCTGGCTTCCTCAGACATAGCAAAAGCTGAGGTACTCAATGAGTGCTCTGCTTCAGTCTTCATGGGTGATCAGGTTTCCCATGTTTGCCAGGACCATGAGCCTCTAGGTGAGGGTGTGGGGAGTGGTTTCTATCCCACTGTAACAGTAGAACAAGTCCAAGCCCTCCTCCTCGTGAAATTGAACGTGTATAAGTCCATGGGGCTGGATGATATCCATCTAGGGTTCTGAAAGTGATGTGGTTGCTAAGTAACTCTTCATCATATTTGAAAAATCATGGCTATCCAGACAAAGTCCAGATTAAGTCCCCGGAAAAAGGGAAACATTACTCCCATTTTTAAGAAAGGGAGAAAGAAAGACACAGGGAAATACAGGCCGGTTAACCTCATCTCTGTGCCTGGGAAGATCATGGAGCAGATCCTCTTAGAAGCTATGTTAAGGCACGTACAAGATAAAGGGGTGATTTGAGAGAGCCAGCATGGCTTCACCAAGGGCAGATCTTGCCTGACCAATCTGGTGGCCTTCTATGATGGAGTGATGGCTTTGGTGGAGGGGGGAAAGGCGATGGATGTCATCTACCTGGATTTCTACAAAACTTATGACAGGGTCCCTCACTACATCCTTCTCTCTAAACTGGAGAGGTATGGATTTAAAGGATGGACTGTTCAATGGATTAGGCTGGCTGGACACAGCCAAAGGGTTGTGATCAATGGTTCTGTGTCAGGATGGAGGCCGGTTACAAACGATGTCCCTCAAGGGTCGGACTTGGGTCCAGTGCTTTCAACATCTTAATCAATGACATAGATGATGGCATTGAGTGCACTCTCAGCAAGTTTGCAGATGACACCAAGCTGAGTGGTGTGGTTGATACACTGGAGGGAAGGGAAGACATCCAGAGGGACCTGGACAGGCTGGAGAAGTGGGTCCATGAAAACATAATGAGGTTCAATAAGGCCAAGTGCAGAGTGCTGCACTTGGGTTGGGGCAACCATTTGTATTTATACAAATCGGGGGAAGATCTCCTTGAGAGCAGCCCTGTGAAGAAGGACTTGGGGATGCTGGTGGATGAGAAGCTGGACATGAGCCAGCAGAGTGCGCTTGCAGCCCAGAAGGCCAATTATGTTCTGGGCTGCATTAAAAAAAAGGGTGGCCAAAAAAAAAAGGGAGAGGGAGGTGGTTGTCCCCCTCTATTCAGCTCCTGTGAGCCCCACCTGCAGTACTGTGTCAAGGCCTGGGGCCACCAGTATAGGGAGGACGTGGAGCTCTTAGAGTGGGTCCAGAGGAGGGCCACTAAGAGGATCAGAGGGCTGGAGCACCTCTCCTATGAGGAAAGATTGAGGGAACTGGGCTTGTTTAGCTTGGAAAAAAGAAGGGTGTGGGGAGACCTCATTGCAGCCTTCCAGTACTTGAAGGGAGCACACAAACAGGAAGGGGAAGGGCTGCTTATAAGAAATGGATAGTGATAAGACAAGGGTGAATGGTATTAAACTGAGACAGGGGAGGTTTAGGTTAGCTATTAGGAGGAAGTTTTTTTACACAGGGGGTGGTGATGCACTGGAACAGGTTGCCCAAGAAGGTTGTGGATGCCCCATCCCTGGAGGCATTCAAGGCCAGGCTGGATGTGTCTCTGGGCAGCCTGGTCTAGAGGTTGGTGACCTCATGCACATAGCATGGGGGTTGAAACTAGGTGATCACTGTGGTCCTTTTCAACCCAGGCCATTCTATGAATAATATTTACAATGACAGTAGTGACTGTATAAAAAAATAAAAAATATCTCGTAAGAGGAGATACAGCATTAAGATGATGTCTGAGAAGCATAATGAAAGTATGAGTGAATATACATGCAACAAACTAAACACAGCTGTAGAAATTGAGGTTTTATTTATTGGAACACACAGCTTTCACGAAATCCAAGTGCTTTATAAAATTGGACAAATTTAAGCAGATTACTGAATTGAAAGAGAATAGGGGAAAAGTCTGGCAAAGAATCTAGTTTCCTCTTTCTTCACCTACACAATTAAGCATATTCTTGTTCTGTGTTTCCTTTTTTTTTTTTTTATTTTTTTTTTTAAACTTGTAGTCGCTCATAAAACAGAATTTTTGATTGTATTGACCTTTTTTCTCTAGAAAGTTTGGAAAGCCAAACCCAAGTTTGTTTGTTTGTTTTTTTCCTTAAGAATCATCCAAAACAAGTAAAAAAATGAAACTGAAAACACCAGATGGGAACGCAGACAGACGGGAATGCAGACAGAAAAACTGAATAAATAAAAGTGGTTGTAGGTACGGACAAGACTTCTAATCGTAAGGCTATGTAAAAGGAAAGTGACGGCTCCCTCTGAGGGTGTCTGGCCAGAGACCTTTCCCTATACAGCAGGGGATAAAAAGAAAAAGAAGCAGTAATAGAGACCAAGTGTAATCACAAACAAACCTGATCAGTAGGTTTGACTCACAACACCTGATTCATAGTGAAAGTAGTATTGTGCACTGACACAGGCTTAAATCCTTGCAATTGGAAGAAGGCAAGCTGGTTTCCAACTCTGAGGTGACAGATTGGAACGACAAACAACACAAGGGATACTGGACCTACCAGCAGCTTTTATCCTCGGCAGGAGGGTAGGATCAAATATACCCAGCACCTGGGCCTGTTTAACAGCTTGTTTTTGCTTGCTGGAAGGACTCTCATTCTGTTTTTTTTTCCACCAATCTCATATTTGGCCTTTCTTTGAGAGTCAGTATAAAGTCACAGAATCACAGAATCACAGAATCACAGAATGGCCAGGGTTGGAAGGGACCTCAAACATCATGAATCTCCAACCTCCCCTGCCACATGCAGGGCCACCAACCTCCTCATTTAATACCAGACCAGGCTGCCCAGGGCCCCATCCAACTTGGCCTTGAACACCTGCAGGGGCAGGGCATCAACAACCTCTCTGGGCAGCCTGTTCCAGCACCTCACCACTCTCTCTGTAAAGAGCTTGGCCCTGACATCCAACCTAAATCTTCCCTCCCTCAACTTC